TTCAACAAATGTGCAGCCAGATGTTGTTTAGTGAGGGAGCATATGGCAATTAGTCGGACAATGATATCGAAGTGTAATCGATTCTAAAATACTGATGTACTGGTGTAGGACAGTGGCCAAACATGGTTAGACAAATGTGACCATTTCATTTCTGCTGTATCTGCTGTTGTTACTCCATAACTGTTTTATTTCTTATTTACTATAATTCATTGTACAAACATGTGATTACTGTAAAAGGTCAAGGGAACTGTTAAATCTTTAAACAAAAGATTTAACAAATTGTTGTTTGATCTACAACATGTTTTTCAGTGGAAGAAGTTATTGGCTAGACTACTTGCACAATGAGTACTTAATAACCATATTTATGACAATCATTCTGAAACTGTAGTTCTAGTTTACTGTAAAACACAGTTGGTAGAAGTGTTTGCTTTGGCCCATGTCATTTAAGAGCCTCAATTTGATTGACGTCCAGCTATAGCCCACGGGAACAGCATCCATTTAGCGGATGAGTACCCATATGTTGGACCTGACACCGTGTGGGCCCCGGGACGCAGAGCAACCATTTACAGTGGGTGCTATTGATTGCTGACTGTTTGATCTTTAGCCATTACAGCTCTGCTTCTGGGGTCGGGAAGTTCAGCAGTTATAGGCTTGTTGAGTCGTCATTAGATATGAGTGCAAACCTGTGGAGCTCTCCATATGGCAGATGTTGTATACACTTCACATCATTAATACCTTGGAGAAATGAAATGGAAAGTTAGAAATCCATTCTTGAGTTCCATGGTCATGGATACTATGACAATATTAAATTTTGAATAAACGAAATCCCTTTAAAAAAAAGACAATTGTCTTGTTTAATTCAAGTGCCAGACTGCCACTGATAAAACCCATTTCTCCTGCAGATGCCACAAAATGAGATTGAAACATTACTTTGCAAAGTAGAGTGTTAAAATGTGGGAATGCCGCCTTGTTTTTGCAGAACCGTGTGTTCCTGCCAGATGACAGACGGGGACATTGTGTTTAAAACTAGCAGCTACCTCCCAGCAGCTTCTCGGATTGACCGTTGGGGCTGTTTCTGTCAGGGAGCATCAGGAGTAATTTTGTGTGCTTTTGTATTCTCGAGGGTAACGGGAACCACATGTGAAACGGACCCCAGGCGGTTCTGGTGCCGGGGGAAGCGCCGTGTCCTCCGTGTGGGCCCAGTGCGGCTCTACAGATGTTGGAAGATGGATAAAGCGATAGGAAGCGGAGGAGCTGGAGAAGACTAAATGGGTGCACATGTCAGCCGGAGATTAGGAGCTATCAGGTTCATCCGCGGACACAGCTGCCGGATATCTTCCTGTGCATGGCGTGTCACAGCAGGCAGCACCAGCGCAGTCGCAGAGATGGTGTTAAAATTAATTTGAGCCTCCTTCAGTGCATTATTTACGGTTTTAAAGCAGCATCACAGCATGCACAGAAGATGGGTCAGGAACTTGAAGCACGAGTTTTTTGCCAGCGGTGGCTTTTCCCAATTTACTTTTTGCGTTTTCTAATTATTTTTATAAATGTTGTTGAATCATATTTTTTGTGGCCATTAATGTTTACACTTTAATGGCCTAAATAAAGTTATCATTTATTTAATAATAACTTTTTAAAATAACTTTTAAAGCAAAAACCACTCATGCCAGGACTCCCAAAATTGGCATGAAACCAACTCGTTAACCCTCACCGATTAGTACAATGAAAGAATGAAGGATGTTTGATCTAGTATCACTTTAAAATAATGTGTAATGAGTGAGTGGTTGGTGATGTCGAAGGCTTTGATGCGTCAGGGCGTCTCGCGTCTGTCATCAGTGTGTGGAGTGAAGGGAAAAATATCCTCAGAAATGGTAAACTTTGTGACCTTGGTCTGTGAAATGTGCTTTATAAATATAGATTACTTATAATAATAATGTTTGAATCAAAAGATTGTTGAAATACATAATAATTGAAATTGTAGAATTTATTGCGGAAATCTTCTCGTGACCCCCTGCGAGTGTCCTGACCCCCACTTTGGGAACCACTGAGCAAGTACTCAACTTTGAAACCACAAAAATCTATTGAATGAAATCCATGTACCTTGTTCCCTTGACCTTTATACAGTTTGGTTCTGTTTGTACTTTTGGCCTCTGTCACTTCTTCAGATCACCTTTTTCAGTGAAAGAGAGTACCAGCTTTGATTCAGTCAATCAGCTCCCAGTATGTAAAAGATGACATGTTTTCTATGTTAGAAGAAGCATATGCTCTTTCTCTCCTCCACAGTGTGATGAAGACTGCGAGACAAATCCATCATGTTTTGATTTGATAGGTTCACAAAATTTTACTTAAACAGGACTTTTTCTGTTGGGACAAAGACATTGTGTTTATGAAACCAAAAAAATTAGGTAATCCAAGGCAATGTACGTTAACAATAGCCTCTCCTGTCTTGCTCTTCCCTCTAGACCTCTGGAGAAGACCCAGGATTTTGGTCATGACAATAACAATAATCAGTCTGTAACTGAGCGAAAAGCAGCATCCCAGAGCAAGCATCTAGAGCTCCGCAGGATCAACATCGTGTCCTACTGTACACTTCCCTTAAACCGAAAAGCCAAGATTGCAGGGTTCTGTTTGTGCAAGTTGAAGTTAAAACCCGAGCCGAGAAAATGGTGTAAGATTATGGGCCTCTTAATATACAGTTTATGATCTCAGGGGAGGTTGTAAACAAACTCGCATGAATAGAGAGCAGTGTCGGTCATCGGGGCTGCCATGCTTGAACCACATGTAAGGAAAGCAGAGTGCGCTGTGAGCCAAAGACCAAGTTGTTTTGCCTAAAAGGTGATCTCTCTGTGCTAACTTTCTACTGAAAAGTTCATTCACCTTGTATGAACTTTTAAAAGCAGCCTTTGCAAAAGCCGGTAAGGTGAAGTGAAGGTGTGCTAAGGGGAGCGATGCACACAATGCCCTGATGCAACCAGCAGGGCTCTCTTCCCCCAGGTGCATTCCGTCTTTGAAGTGCCATTTAATCTACCGCCCTCTCCTCATATCATTCCCTGTTATGGGTTGTACTGTACATCCTGCTGTACCATACTATAGGGGTCCTGGAGAGGCCACTGTTTCTGTACAAAAACGAAGGAAAAAAAGAATAACACAAAAGCTCTCGCCAGTATCCGCCCTCTCACTTGACAGTCCCCCGGAGAAAAGCCAGTGGCAATCTATAATTTATTGCAGTCTGTGTAAGATCAACCCGAGCTTTATGTAACCGCAAAAGAAGTGCCATGTTCAATAGGACAAGGCAGCGTGCACCCTTCTGGATTTGGGGACAACTCCTTGAAGATTATTTTGCGTGACATTACAGTGGAGTGCTTTTAAGGGCACCAAGTAAAGGTTTAGAACATACTGTGCCCTCTAGAAAATGGAGCACTTTGGAAGCACTTTTTCTCTTATAGAAACTCTTTGGGACATTGTGAGTGGGCTGACCAGTTGTTTTGACCCTCATTGCTACACCGTATATATATTGGGTCTCTCGTATCTCCAGCATCTCTCCCTCATTTTCCCGGATTACACCAAAAAATCCCCAAACCTTCCCTTCCCGTTGTAAATCTAAATGAAGAAGGCAAACTGAGTTCTTTGCATAGAAACATGCAGAACACAAAATCACTGTGCATGGCCTTGAATGAGTCATCTAATATAGGGGGAGTGCCTTCACACACATGGCCACCAAGCCACAGCCGCCATTGCTCTCAACAAAACAGCTATTCTAAGTCTCTTTCAAGTCTCCTGCAGTTTTTCGGGGAGAAGAAAACTAAAGTCAGATTTCTGTCTTTCGCAATCACAAGTAAAGGCTTCTTAAACAGGATCTTGGAAGATATTTGTCATAACGGAAGCTTGGCTAATGTGGGGGAGCACTTTGCTTGCTGGGGCTGATTCTCTACATATGGTTGTCAAAGAGGGATTTCAGCAGCTTTAGCCCTGGGAAAAATGTATGCAGGTGTATATGCATGCTTTAGTGCCATGTGACTGCTGTGGTCCCTAAGCTCTGTGTGAAGTGCTCTGCAAATATCATTTGCAGCTGATAATGCTGCCAATAATATGTATGACCAAGTCTATTTGAATCGTGGTCATGCTGTAAAAAAAAAAAAATCCAGGTACTATTACTTAACTTAAAAAATAGATCTGTTTAGTTTTGGTTGATTCCTCTGGGTTAGAAGTAGATCTTAGTTTAATCATAAGACATTACCTAATATTTGGCTGGATATTGGTGCAAAATAAATCTAATCTTTGGGATAAATCTAATATCGGCTCTAACTTCAGTTCTGCAGCTTGAAATATTTAATGTAATTCAAGACTTAATAGGCACATTTAGCTTATCTGATGGTCAATAACAGAAAACAGGTGGCCGCATGCAGTTGAGGAGTTAAGTGAACTTGTCACTTTCTCACTGCGACGAGTGTAGAAAGATCAGATTAACAACAGGCTTTCTGTTCTGCCCTGTAAATAATGCCTGAACTAGATACCTAATACAGGGGAGTACTTGTGATTCCTAAAACACCTTTACAATTTGGACCATCTTCAGATGCAGGTGCCATCTCCTGCTATTTGGGGGAAGGCTCAATATTAGCTTTATAAGCAGTTTGCTGGATTTTCCACAAGGGTTGCTTAGACAAAGTCATCATTTTAAGAGATCAACTGTCAACAGTTTCGTTTTTCACATGGTGTCAGAAAGTGTATGCACAGGTGACGAATGAGACCCCAGGTATGAAGCCTGCAGCAGGTATGACAGGTCTGAGTCAAGCTGCTGCATGAGCACTTTAAAGTTCAAATCAGATCAAAAATCTAGGAAAACTTCAGGATCAGCAGAGCTTGCATAATCATGTCCACTTGTAACAAAAGTAAATAGAGGTGCATTCACGTGCTTTTCAGTGAAGGTCATGACACTGCTATTGCAGCATTTGGAGTATGTTAGGAAACTGCTCATTCACATTTGCTTTTGTCATTTCTAGGTAAAAATCCTACTGACAATGAGGCAACAGACGACTATGGTGTTCCCAATCCTGGACCAGCCTTCAAAGAAGTGTGGCAGGTGAAGGTGTGGCCCAAAGGCTTAGGCCAAGCCAAGAACTTGGTGGGAATCTACCGCCTCTGCCTCACTGACAAGACTGTCAACTTTGTCAAACTCAACTCTGACGCTGCTGCTGTAGTTCTACAACTGATGAATGTTCGTCGATGTGGTCACTCTGAGAACTTTTTCTTTGTGGAGGTGGGACGGTCTGCTGTGACCGGAGCAGGGGAGTTTTGGATGCAGGTAAGCCTGTTATTGAATCTGTCTCTATGCTCACAATCATTTAAAATTGTATGATCACTCATGATTATTGTGGGTATAATAATTCAGGAATCTGATTCGGTTCAATTCACCATTCTCACCTACGATCCGAGGATGTTAGCAAAGCAATGCAATGAGGAATTCTGACATTTTATCTTACTAATCTAATGATTAGTAAGATAAAAACAGCTCCATTCAACAATTTAGTCTTACTGACTCCTCAAATAAAATATTTATCCTTCATTTCTATTGGGTACAACACTGTGATATCAAACTTTCTGATTGATAAATCTGGAAAGTGGCATCTTAATGAACTATACTTTATACTATCTATAAACTATCCAAAGGACCAAAAGGATTCATTTGTTAAATGCTGTACGTAGTAAAATAAAATGCACTGTAGAAAATGTTTCTATGTTAAAAGGAAAGTTTTTTTAGGTCAATTATTTTTACCTCAAATATTATTCTCGGTTCAATGCCACAATATATGAGAGCAGTCATTCTTCTGAGTTATTTATAAGTGAGAAGTTTCATTTCAGAAAGTGGGGAAAAAATAAAAGTCCCATAACTTTTTACACAGTGCATGTTCCAGTTTCCATTGTATGTCCATAAAATCTATTTCATTTTAACTGCAGATTTGTTTCCTCTTAGGTGGATGACTCCGTAGTGGCCCAGAACATGCATGAGACTCTTTTAGAGGCCATGAAGGCGCTGAGTGAGGAGTTTCGCCAACGGAGCAAATCCCAGTCCAGCTCTGGCCCAGGAGGAGGGGCCACGGCCTCTAATCCCATCAGTGTCCCCTCCCGTCGCCACCACCCAAACCCCCCTCCCAGCCAAGTGGGCTTCAACCGCCGGTCCCGGACTGAACCTCCTGGAGGGACTAATGGAGCTGGAGCCGGTGCAGGAAGTGCCAATGCTTCACCGACTCCGAGGCACAGTTTCCCCAGGTCTCGTACTGCCAGTGATGGAGGAAAGACTGATGATAGTGGAGTAGGGACCAGTCAAGGACCAAGTTCCAGCCCATCAATCAATGGGTCCCGCTCTGCCACCCCAATCCTCAGGTCAAAATCCACCCGCTCAGTCCCTACAACATCTGCTAAAAGTCTGATGCGCTCAATTTCCACCCCAGCCTCGTCTGTAACCCCAAACCTATCGTCTACTTCAAGCCACGGTTCAGACTTTAGCGGAGTTCCATCTTCAGCCCCTGGTGCTGGGTCTGGTGCATATAGTGTTCCCACTCATCGTGCTTCAGTTTCAGGCTCTCCCAGTGACTATTGCTCCTCTGATGAGTATGCTTCGAGTCCTGGCGATCACTCGGTGCTGCCCTCTCCGAGCCTCCCTGGAAGCTCAGTGGGAAGTACAGGTAGTCAGTCTTTAGGAGACGATGGATCTAATTATATTCTAATGGGACAGCGAGGTGGTGATGCTGTCGGCATCAATCAAGGAAGTTTAACCAATAGTCCCAAGCCGACACCAGGTACACCAGGCAGCAGCACTCAGAGCAGGAGAGTTTTACGGAGGTCGTCCAGTCGTGAAAGCGAATCAGAACGTAGGTTGCTAAGTAAAAGGGCATCATTGCCTCCAATGGCTCTAGAAAGACTAGCACCTCGGCAGCGGAGGGCAGAGGAGCCAACCGATGAAGAATCAGCCGATTACGCCATAATGTCGCGGAGTACAAGCCGTGAATCTTTCACATCGACTCCTACACAAAGACAGTCTGTTGCGAGTGGAAGTGGATATTTGGACGTTGCTAGCGAGTTTAAAACTGAAGTAGGAGGCGGGAATATAGATTTGGGCGTGGACACTGGATATATGTCAATGTTGCCTGGCGTTACTCAGCCTCCGGCCTCAGGCCCCCAATCCATGGCTGTCTCTGTCCCTGAATTAGACGCTAAACCAGCAGACGACTACATGGCCATGACACCAAATAACAGTGTATCCCCTCCACAGCAAATCCGGCCTCCAACTTCTGATGGCTATATGATAATGTCGCCCAACAGCAGCTGCTCACCAGACCAGAGAGGGGGGCTGTCAGGTGGTGCTTGGGTGAGCAGTGGCAGTGCAGACAGCAGAGCAGGGAGTGACTATATGAACATGTCCCCGATCAGTGCGCGGTCTGTCAATGGCAGTCCACCTCCTCCTGATCACACAGGTCATTTGGAAAACAGTTCTCATCAACCAACTCCTAAGATGGTGTACTCCTACTACTCACTGCCTCGGTCCTACAAACATAACCCTTCTGGACATTTTGATGACAGTCTGGGACGAGGTAGAAGGGCCAGTGCAAGCAGAGGAATGGGAGGAGGGCGTTCTGTGGCGGGGCGTCAGGAGAAAGCTGCGGCTAATAATTCAGTCAGTGGTCGTCACCTGTCACTGTCCTCATCCTCCTACTCCTCTAGCTCGGCCAGCAGCGAAAGCCTAGGGGAAAGCGAAGAGAGAATGCCCCTTGGAGCAAGTAGTAAAGCCACAGCATCTCCCCTGAAAGATGCTAATAAGCCCCCGCATAAGCAGACTTTAAACTATCTCCCAAAGCAAAACAGTCACACTAAAAGTCGACCTGTCAGCTTATTCGTTGATATTTCCAAGGCCAACACGCTTCCTCGTGTGCGGGAGAATCCTTTACCCGCAGAACCCAAGAGTCCCGGGGAGTACGTCAGTATTGAGTTTAAGGGAGAGAAGAGCAGCCATGTTCGTGGTGGAGGAGGTCATGGGAGGGGTCTCAGACATGACTTATCCCTGCCCCATGGCTCCAGTACCCAAAAAACCCAGAACAGACCAGTTTCTTGCCTGGGTAACTTTATCCCCCTCTCCCAAAGCCCTTCCGCCCCCATCTCCCCGCCAGCCTCTTCAGAGTATGTCAACATGGACTTAGGCCCCTCTCCTTCACCCTCACCTCATTCACACACCCCTTTAGTTTTCCCTACTTTTCACAGTCCACCCACTCCCCCAGCGCTGGCCCATTCTCTCAAAACTAGCAATGCGGGGACTGCCAGTTTGCTAAAAGAGCGAGTAGAAGTTGCAGAGGCAGCCCAACGTCGCAAAAGCAGAGAAAAGGCCCCATCAGTTACCGAATCGGAATCCCCGACATCCTACAGCGACTACACAGAGATGGCCTTTAGCCTGAACAGCAACACCGCAGCAACCAGTGTGTCTCCAAAAGCCCCTTCCCCAAACCGAACTGAACCTGCCGTCCCCGTTCTGTCCTGCGGCCTGGAGTTCCCTCTCGTCAAAGGCCCCAACCCAGACCACGGCGCCAAAGTCATCCGCGCAGATCCCCAAGGACGACGAAGGCACTGCTCCGAGACGTTTTTGGCCCCGCCGTCCGTCCCCGCTTCTACAGCCACGCCCTCGACCACCACTGCCGCCACGCTGTTCCCGGAGCATGCCCAGGTAGTCGTGAGGCGCTTGGGTTTTGACGGGATGCTCTGGGGTGGTGGTGCAGGGACCGATGCTCCCACCCAACCCGTGACCATCAACAATCAGACTTCATCCACAGAGCAAGGCCTTAACTATATAGACTTGGACTTGGCCAGCAAAGAGGGCCCTCATCTAGCTCTGGACGGACCCTCGGGGAGCCAGGCCGCCTCTCGCCTCTTCTCCCTCCTCACTGGTGGCTCCGGGGTCGGGACGGCGGTTGGGGCCAGCAACAGCTCCAGTCTTAACACGTACGCAAGCATCGACTTCTACAAATCTGAAGAGCTGCGATCACAAACTGGAAGCAAGGAGGGAACTGGTAAGAAGTGCCTAAAAATATATCCGGTTTCCTCTTTCTTTCCTTCAACTCTCTCTTGCTCTTTCTCTCCTTGTCCCCTTTCTGTCTGTCATGATTGAGATTTCAGTCGGATAAATCCAATCAGAATTGTTACAAAGGCTCATCTGGCGCCAGATTAAAAAGATATTATTGATATTATAATCTCAACATTAACAGTAAGAACACAGACATTAACAAGTTCTACCCACGCTCTTTAATGCAAAGAATATAGGTGCCATTTAAACATACTGTAAATTACATTGCTCCTCCTTTTGACAACACTAGCTCATCCCAAATATGCCCTTACTTCCATACAGATTCCTTTTGTAATACTGATGCCAAAATATTTTTTTACAGCTGATCTGTTGTGTCATCTCACAATAATACTAGCACCGAAGAATGAACAGAATCTCTGTTTAACCATAAACATTTTGAATAGAGTTGAGACTTCTATACATATAAAATTGTAGAGATTAAGAAGAATTTCAAATGGTGTGTTTGTAAGGATAAAATAGTCGTTCACATAACTCAAAAACAATAATAAAGTGCTTGTTTTTCTTTCTTTTCTGTGAAGTGTGGTAATAACAGGACATGGAAGTGCCACTTAGCCATAATGGTTTAAATCACTGCAACTATCTTGCCATATAGTCGTAAGGCATATTAACTCTTTGATACCGGTGTATTCTCCAGTCTCTTGTTGGCATTAATTTGGCACATTAGCTCACTCATGCATATATATCTCCTTCATTTAATGACTGCTTTATCTGCAAAATCTGCAACCAATAAACTACTTAGTAGTTGTACTTAACCTTCCACTGCAGGGCTCCTGCTGATTGCCTCCTGCCAAGCCCGACTGTTTTTGAAGCCTGTTCTCGTCTACACTTGATTTGCAGTTTTGTAAACCCCCTGGCTTTCTCTCGTTCTCTTAAACTCCACATTTGGGTTTAATATAAAATTTAAAGCATTGGTGAAATGTCATCAAGAGATCTTGAAAGGCATAGTTGTGCTCAACAGTTGGTTTAGTAAGTTCAAGTCTCCTTCCATAGATTATCACCTTTTTTAATTGCATAATTATAACTGTTGGTTGACTGAGTGTACTCTGAGGAAGAATGCTTGGGGCTTCCTCAGTGGGACCATATGTGCTGGGCTGTACGTCTGGGAGGGAGGAGGAGCGGGGGGAATGTTACACGTTGGCTGTGAATGTTAAGATGAGGCCAGTGCTTGGCTCACACTGCACTCCAATGCCGTGTACAGTGTTCCCCCTCCTTTCATCACTCCCTCACATCCCCCTCTTTCCTCCTTCAATAAATGATCCTTTTGTTCGTGTGTTGGGCCGCAGTGGGCTGACAGGCCTCAGCAGGACCCAGTCCAGAGACTCCTGAGTCCTAACTCTGCTCAAATGCACTCTTTTCTGAGTTCTGGGTCTCAGTTTTGAAGACTCCCTCTCCAGGATTGAATCACTCCTCTTCTTTGTAGTTGTGTTTTCTACTCTCCCTCACATCATTGTCCTTGTGTGACATCAAGACTGGCAGATTTTTAAAATTCCTTCCCTCCCTTCGGCGTGCTCCATGCTCTTTTGTTCAACGGATTCTCATCCTTTGTCACTAGATGATTATAGAAAAGCCCTGCTTTCTGGAATAGTATGGCTCAAAAAGAATCTGAAATTAAGCGAAGTTCTTCAAAGTGCAGAGCAACCCAATTCTAAACACCCATAGTTATCTGTCATTACTGGGTTTTTCCTCCAACGTGTAGCAACTTGTCTCAAATGCTTGGTTTTGGCTTAACTTTCTGAGAGCTATAAAAGCAGTCGTGGGATTTGTGCCAACAACTATCCTGTCGGGCAGCACTTATGTAATGTGCCGTCCATTTGATTCTGTTCAATTGGAGAATTATCAAATGATAATGTTAATCTCCTGTTCTATGGAAACGTAGCCTTGTACAGATGAGGTTCAAATGATAAAAAAGAGGACATTGTTTATACAACTCTACAAATAATATGCATTATATTAAAGAATGAATCACTTGCAGTGAAAAATACATTCTTATTATCTGCACTCTTAGTTCTTTACAATGTGATTTTTATTTCTTCTCCATCTGGTGGATGGTGTTTGCCAACCTCAAAATAACCTGTGGCACTTTGAAAACACTTCCCAGAGAGACTCTCTTCAAAGAAAGTGGAAGACTGCAGTATTGAATATTGTTCTTGTTATTTATACTTCATGTTTCATTCGTCTCTTGGTGCCATTACATTTCAACATTGGGAAATGGGTGTGTTAAAGTCACACATGACAGTCATTGGCACATATTTGTAGTATATTCAACAAAAGAGGAATGATGATTTTAGATAATAGCATCTTTGTTATGGTGCGACAGCCTCGGTCAGCCGCAGGTTAGTCTAACAGCAGACTGTTATGTAAAGCAGCACCACGTGGATGGGACATGACCCCAGTGTGTGGCTGTGTGTAGCTGTGTGCATTAGTGTGTAGCTGTGGATGCAAATTGCTATATGCAGTTGGAAGCATGTAGCACATTTATACGCACAACTAAACTTCTACATGTTCACATCATTTCAGTTATGTGAACATGTAGCATAAACCGACATACTCCATGCCTACTACTTTTAGCTCTTCACTGATGCCGCGCTGCTGTTGGATGACCTCTCTTAGATTAGTCGGCAACTTAGAGATTAACAGTTGATTAGGCTTGACGCTTGTAAAAAGATTCCAGTATTTGCCATTAACCTCTAATTAGCCTTTCAGAATGTCCGCTGCTGCATAGGCCCGGCCGGCTTTACAAAATTACACCTCTGCTTGTTGAACTGTGCATGCTTCTTTCCCATTCATTTGTTTAGTCACTTCACCTAACGGTTTGTTGCTGTGTTGTCTCCCCGTGTAGAGGTTACAAACGGATTGGTTTTGAGAAAATTACATTGTCTTGGTTTGGGGCCCAAGTTTCTTTGGTGGGTGTCGAGTTCATGAAGTCTGTAAACATTCAGTATAAACACTTCTGCAGTGTTTGGGTTAAGCAGAGGCTGCCTTTAGATCCATGTGACTTTTTCATCGCTCAAAAGCTGAACAGTCCTTTCCCAGCAAATCCACATGCAGACTTTGATGAGGTCATCCTCACTTCAGCGAGACGGGTTCATCCCAGACCTCCTTGGCTGGTGAATTAAATGGATCTCCGACTGCTCCGTAATCTCAATTTGATGCAAAACATGTGCAGCTCTGTGGATCATGTACCTTTAACTGGTGAGATTGATATGTTTGCGTTGTCTGCAAGGTTTAAACTAATGCAAATTGGGTGGCACAGTTTTTAGTTTTTTGTGCCTCACAGCAAGAAGGTCCTTGGTTCAATTCCGCCTCCAGACCTTTTTGTGTAGTTTGCATATTCTCCCCGTGTGTGCATAGGTTTCCTCCGGGTTTTCTGTTTTCCCCGGGCCCTACTACTAAAATCATGTGCAATAGGTCTGGCATACGGCTCCTGACCCCGCTCCAGTCTGTGTGGAGTGAGAGCCAAATGCCCACAATAATTGTAAAGTACTTTGTGACTCTGGTCTGTGAAAGGCGCTATATAAATACAAATTACTTATTTTCAAATCATTTAGGATCAGGAATTAAAATCTTTCAGTATCTCAGGCAAAAATGCATTCATAGCTTTTCAACAATTCAATATTTTTCTTATTTTAAGCAATATTTGAATGTGTCCAGGATACATGGGGTCATTGTAGTTTATTGCCAGGTTCTTTCCAAAGCAGCCCAGCCCCTCTGCTGCACGTCTTGTATCACGGCCTGTAAAAGTCTCAGTGTTGTTAGAAAACAGGCGGTAGCATTAATCTTGCATACAGCATAAGATTCAAACTCTTATAGAAACATTGCAGTCTTTTATGTAAACGATTTGCACACAGTACACACACACACACACACACTTGTGTTTGAAGTTCAAACATCTCTGTCCTCGGGTTTCTCACAGTTTTTTTTAGGTTTAAAGCGTCAGCACATTGACCCAGTGCTGCAGGTGAAAGAAAACTGAGAATCCATGTCAGTTACTTGTTGTGTAACTGTAGATTTGTAGAAAAAGCATTCATCATTTCTATCTCCTGAACCATGGAACACATTTGTCTTTATGTCAAGAGTCACTATGAAGAAAGAATCTTCTCTTCTGAACTACTTCTGACACAAATCATGAGACGATTAGTAGGCGAGTCTCGTAGTAATTTAGGAGTGTCATAATTATACATAGAAACATATTGGACATGTTGACATTTCTAATTGTCACATTTATTCCTTTTCTATTGTTTCACTTAAAGCATTTGAATTGAATTGAATTGAATGAAGTTTATTTTGGTTACTTTGTTACAGAGCAATAATTTTACAGCATCACCCGTTCTCACACACATTCATACACAAGTGTACGCAGACTCTGGTAAGTGTCTTGCCCAAGGAAACACCAGCTCCCGCAATTAATTAATCGGAACTGGCTTCACACCTGCGTCAGGAGCAGGATTTGAACCATCAACTGAGCTACTGCTGCACATTCCTGCAACATTTGATTTGAGTGAAAATGTTTTCCTTGTCTGACATGTGTAAGAAATGCTGTATATTAATAAGGGAAATTTTGAATATTGCTTTGCCTCCTTTGCAATTTTCTGCCCTTTCAAAAATGTGGTCGCAACCTTCCGCTTTATCTGTTACAAAACAAAACAGATTACACCCTCATCTTTGTCTTGCATTGTCTCACAATGATCTGTTTACACTATGACAGTGATGAATGACAGCCACTCTACATGTAACAGAAAATCAGTTATGCCTTTCTTTAGGAGCCTGTCTTTACAGATGGAATAGACATAATTCAAGATAATTCAGTAAAGTTACATTTATTTTTCCATTTGCCGTTATCAAAGCATTGGTATATGAAAAGTGTAATGCCCTTCGGTCTTACATTGCAGACGATGATTCTCATTGGAACTGGGCAGACTGACTTTC